AGTCCCCGGCCAATAAGAGCGCCGCTTCTTGATGAGTATTTTCTTGTTTGCTTATGGCCTTATACAGCTCGTTGAGTGCGGTCTTAGTGCCAGCGTCAGTTTGTGGTGGTAAATAGACGGCTATGAAAAATATAGATAAAAACTCTCTTGGTAGATAGTGTGGTCTACAGCTTATCATGAGGTACTCTACCTCAGGCGAGCAATACCTCGAGACTACCTTAATATTAGACATCGCGCACCAGCTGTTATTGACAAATAGACACATAACCCCACCCGTCGTCTTACCGGACGTAGCTTTTTTGGTTTACCCACTCATCGACTAATTCTCACAAGGCACCCTGATCTGCGCCCCCGGTATCTCCTTCTTTTCTTCATCGAATGACGGGGATTTGGGCCTTGTCTGGGAGCAACATTATATCCTTCGAGTCAGACTCATTAAAGAAAAGATCTTCGTCCAGTTAGAGTTGAGTAATCGCTGTTCTGATATCCATAAGCTCTTTTTGGTCATAAGAGACGGTAGCATCAACATTATGTACAAAATAAGTTACAAACAATGTGAAAAAACACACAAAATAGCACAATTTGTAAGGAGCCCGTAAAACGGCAGCCATCCCCTCCGGCGCCATTTGCAGTTCTGATTGGACCATAAACAGATTTAGCTCATTAATCTATACGGTCCAAATGATGATAATCCACGGTTCTTTGAAAATATATATAATTTATCAAGCCTACAAGCAATACAAGACTCTATTATTTTGGTGGGAGATTTTAATACGGTTTCAAATACCTCAATGGATAGTAAAGCAAATCACATTACAAACTATCACCCTCATGCACTTAAGGAAATCACAAATATCATGGATATTTTAGAACTAGTGGATATACGGAGGCTTAAATATCCTGACCTAGTGAGATATACACTACCGTTCGAAGGTTTGGGGTCACTTAGAAATGTCCTTGTTTTCGAAAGAAAAGCTATTTTCTTGTCCATTAAATTAACATCAAATTGATCAGAAATACAGTGTAGCCATTGTTAATGTTGTAAATGGCTACGGTAGCTGGAAACAGCTGATTTTTTATGGAATATCTATGTGTGTTAGCACAGCTGAAAACTGTTGTGCGGATTAAAGAAGCAATAAAACATTAAATAGTACCCGCAAAACACCAGTCTCAAGGTCAACAGTGAAGAGTCGACTCCGGGATGCTGACCTTCTAGGTAGAGTTGCAAAGAAAAAGCCATATCTCAGACTGCCCATCTTAATCTTTTCTCTTTATTGGCCAGTCTGAGATATGGCTTTTTCTTTGCAACTCTGCCTAGGTCAGCATCCCGGAGTCGCCTATTCACTGTTGACATTGAGACTGGTGTTTTGCAGGTGCTATTTAATGAAGCTGCCAGTTGAGGACCTGTGAGGTGTCTGTTTCTCAAACTAGACACTCTAATGTATTTGTCCTCTTGCTTAGTTGTGCACCGGGGCCTCCCACTCCTCTTTCTATTCTGGTTAGAGCCAGTTTGCGCTGTTCTGTGAAGGGAGTAGTACACAGCGTTGTACGAGATCTTCAGTTTCTTGGCAATTTCTCAAATGGAATAGCCTTCATTTCTCAGAACAAGAATAGACTGACGAGTTTCAGAAGAAAGTTATTTGTTTCTTGCCATTTTCAGCCTGTAATCGAACCCACAATTGCTGATGCTCCAGATACTCAACTAGTGTCAAGAAGGCCAGTTTTATTGCTTCTTTAATCAGCACAACAGTTTTCAGCTGTGCTAACATAATTGCAAAAGGGTTTTCTAATGATCAATTAGCCTTTTAAAATGATAAACTTGGATTAGCAAACACAACGTGCCATTGGAACACAGGACTGATAGTTGCTGATAATGGGCCTCCGTACACCTATATTCCATTACAAATCAGCCGTTTCCAGCTACAATTGCCATTTACAACATTAACAATGTCTACATTGTATTTCTGATCAAGTTGATGTTATTTTAATGGACAAAAAAATTGCTTTTTGAATTTAGCCTATTGAAACGCACTGAATAACAGATTCACACAAAAAAAATCTAAAGGAAGTTTGTTTAAGAAAGATCAGGAAACATTCCTTTTTTTTTTGTTACATGTATTTAACCCCTTATTTTTGGCACTAAACAGTGTCCATATATACACTACCAGTCAAAAGTTTTAGAACACCTCAATTTTTCCAGTTTTTATGGAAATTCACACAGTTTAATGTCTTAATGTACTCAGAAATTAAAGCATAGAACAAATAAACAATTGGAGACAAAAAATAAATCATGGAATCGTATTGTTTAACAAAATGTAATCAACATTTTAGACTCATCAAAGTAGCTACCTTTTGCAGACATAACAGCCGAACACACTCTTGGCATTCTTTCTACAATGGAAATCAAATATTGTTCGGAAAGTTATTCCCAACATTGTTGCAGAAGTTCCCACAAATGTGTTGCACTAGTAGGTTGCTTTGCTTTCACCCTTCTGCCCAGTTCATCCCAAACCAGCTCGATGGGGTTTAAGTCTGGAGACCATGTGCTGGCCATTCCATGATTTGAAGCCTACTGTCTTGTTCTTTTCTTCTAAGGTAGTTCTGACATAGCATGGAGGTGTGTTTTAGGTCATTATCTTGCTGTAGGAACCCCTGACCAACTAGGCATACACTAGAGGGTATTGCATGGCGCTGCAAAACGCTGTGGTAGCCATTTTGGTTCAGGGTGCCACTCACTACGTGCAAGTCACCGACTCTGGATCCAACAAAAGAGCCCCAGACCATCACGCTTCCTCCTCCATGTTTGACAGTTGGTGTCACACACTGAGGAACCATCCTTTTGCCTACTCGACGGCAAAAGGATGGACCGAAGATTTCAAATTGTGATCCATAAGACCTTCTTCCAGTCTTCAGTAATCCACTGGCGGTGCTTCGTGGCCCAGGCAAGCCTATTTTTCTTATTTTGCCATCTTAGCAATGGCTTTCTTACTGCCACTTGACCTGTCAAACCTGCAGCTCGAAGTCTTCTCTTCACAGTTGAAACTGAGACTTGCTTACTTCGACCAGTGTTAAGCTGTGCTTGAAGCTGTTGTCCTGTGAGCCGCCTATCACGCAAGCTGTTGACTCTCAGAAACTTGTCTTCTGATTCTGTTGTGGCTTTGGGTCTGCCAGACCTCTTCCTGTCAGAGCTTCCTCCAGTCTCCAAGTGCCTTTTGATGGTGTAGGACACTGTACTCACTGACACCTTGGTTTTCTTTGCAATTTCTCTAAAGGAAATACCTACACTTTTAAGGGTTATAATGGTCTGTCTGTCTTCCTTTGTTAATTGCCTTTTTCTTGCCATTATGATAGCAATATACTACTTCCTGCAGTACAATACTGTCCAAATAATGTTTATGAGGGTGTAGTAACACAGTCTGTTCCAACACTGCTTTTATACAGACAGAGGGTTTGTAAGTAATCAACAAAAGTTGGGACACCTGTAGGAATTGTTAGCGTCAACTTTCAAGGCTTAATTTACTTCCATTGCAACAGAACAGCTGTAAGTGATTAACCCATTACTTGTTCCCTGACAAAGGCATTTTTTTATAACTCTGAAATGTACATTATTTTCCAGTTTTTGGTAACCTAAATGTTTTTTTGTTAGTTTTTTTATTCCTCTGGCAGCTTACCTCTTATCTTTGTACCATTTCAGGTTATTCACTGGACTAAATTTAAATAAAAACTGGAAAAAGGGGGTGTTCTAAAACTTTTGACCGGTAGTGTACTTCCATAAATTTTTTCAACTGGTACCGGGGGACCTTCAGAGGAGGAGCAAAACAACCGACATGTATGTATTCGTGAGAGTCTCACCTTTCCACAGAGGGGTCAGTGTGTAGCTCAAACTGCTCAAACTGTTCAGACATTACAGACAGAAGTTGGCAGATTGGCTGTACCGAGACGCTTGTGGGGGTCATAGAACAAAACGGAGAACACTATTGTGTTTGTGAGAGTAGTTAGTTTGTAGGCCAAACCATCGGACGCTACAGACGATTTTGTGATAAGACCAATTTTCAAGATGTCTCATGGTCTGACAAACACCGCTCTAGCTCCGTCACCTTTCACCACAGATGCGGAAGTGTGACATAGGCAGATGCGGTGCATACAATGCAAAAATGTTTTATTTTAAGATGAAAAGCAATATCTTTAGGGCCTGTACATGGTCCACATCAGGCAGGTGTGCTATTTTAGCAATAAGCATCATCACCTGTCTGATGCAGCATGGTGGCTACATGGCTGAAGCCTGGGGTTGCTCCTCTGCATTGTTTACCCCAAAGCGCTAATCATTAGCTAGATCAGACTCTAAATATGATCTTGATGCTTGTTTAATGTCCTAAAAAAAACTTATACTGGCAATAATAAAATCATGTGATTTTTACAGTGTTTATAAATACAGTGTAATTGTGTGAATTTTACAGTGAATATAGGTCTACCATTTATGCATTCGAATGGCCGACCCACTTCCCGCGGTAATCTTTTTTATTGTCATGCCAGACACTGAGATTGTAAAACACTGCCAATTGTGCACAAATTTGAGTTGAGAAAGAAATCAAACAGCACTAAAAAGCTGGGATCCTGCTCTTTTCAATAATTGTCATCAAAACTGTTGTATTTTCCTGAGGTTGGATTTAGGAATGTTGCACAGTGACTGGTCTTATTAGAACACATTTCTTTCTGCACAGCAATCAGCAGTGTGAGGAGTTGTGCGCTCTTTACAGCCGACAGTTGATATTCAGCTGATAAATAAACAACATAGCACATTAACAGCATTGGGAATTAATCTTTTTTTTAAACAATTATATAGACTACAGAATAGCAATATTACAATATTAATTTTTATTTATTCCTGTATTTAACCAAAAAGTGATTTGTGTAAATAATGTTCATGTCTTGACAAGTAAGCAGCTAATAATGACATCGCTGTGTCTGATATGAAAAATGACAGAAAAGGAGGTGGACTTTTAAATGCGCGTGCCGATGTTCAACTCTGAATTGATGGGCTTCCCGCCTCCGCTGAGACGGTTCTGGTGCAAGTATCCAGGACGTAGCCTACTGGATGTTTCCGTGCCAGCGGGCAGCCCTGAATGTCAAGCTCTGTTATACAACTTATATGACCACTAACTTGCACGTCTCCCCAGAAGTAACTATGGCTATAGTGGAAGTTTACCTGTCCTCCATTTTGTGTCTAGACAGTACTGACCTGAGCCAGGATGGCAGCCTTCTGACCCGCTGTGACCCGGATGGCCTGCTGGGTGACGGTCGCAGGGGACGACACCACGTGACCTGTGGAACTGGCCGCGCCCTGCTTCCCCACGCCCTGCGACGCCGGCTGGCCAACCAGAAACGTGCCCTGGAAAAGATCAATCACAAACAGCTTGGTCGATACGACACCAAAACATAATATCAACAGCAATTGCTTTTACAATACCATCTGAGAGCTTTTGTTAGAGCTTTTCTGGAAGAGTTTAGAAGTATGTAGGGGGGGATGGTAACATGTATTTGTTATTTATTCATTGGTTTGTTCAACAGTTTGGGAATATGGGTTGGTGGGATGAGTGGGTGGCACATTGTGGTTGATCAATTTAGACATCCTCTTTGGCACAATCAGTCAGCAGTTAGGAAGGCAGATAACTGGGGTGAGTGATTTCTTTAGTTAGGCTGTTTAAGGATGTAGTAGGGGTGTTGTGTGTGCGCGCACAAACACTCGCAAATGTGTGCATGCGCAAGTGTGTGGTTGGTCACATTCATTTGCTGCTACCGACCGGTGGAGCGGTGGAAAGAGGACGTCTAAATTTGTCCGTACTCTCTGCGGGCCGGCACCCCGATGGCAAAGGCTAAAGGTTTTTCCAAAAGTTCGACCGACGTGAGAGTGAGAACGGCGAGTGGTGACATGAAATTATCTCTGCCCCAGATTCAGATTTTAGGTGGGAGGAAGACAGGACGCACAGACTTCATTAGAAGTTGTTGGGTAAATGCAGAGAAAGCATTGTTCTAGAGTTAAGAGCTGGATCAATGGCTCAATAATGAACGTATCTACTTAAGGGATATAGCTAGCTAGCAGCAGGCTCAATCACTACTGAAATCCTAAAGACAGGCTTTACTAAAGGAAAATCCCAGCCTTCATGAATGCAAAACAGCACAAATATATTCTTTACGAAGGAAAAAAATCCCCTAGCAAGTAGTCATTCAAATTAACGAGAGTGTGTATAAGACAGACAGTCAACCCTGTGGATATGAGCCCTGCCTGTCATGCTTAAAGGGGATTGTGTGTAAATAGGGGGAATTTTAGAGTTTGGTTATTACATAAACATAGTATTAGTGTGATAACGTGAAGTGTTTGAGCTGTCTAGAGGCTTTGAAGAGACTGAAGAGAGTCCTTTTATTCCACTCTGAGCATGACATGAGACTTTCCGCAAGAATAAGACATGAAAGACAGCAGCTTGTTTCACTCAATGATTATTCAAAGAGGATAAAAGGATGAACAGAGAGAGTGAGAAGATGTGATTATCAGTGTGTACCTGTGGGGTCTATTTGAGGAGGTGTGCACGTATGTGTGTGTGTGTACCTGCATGGTCTGTGTGCGTGACGTGTGTGGGCGCGCCTGTGTGTGTACCTGTGGGGTCTGTTTGAGGATGTATGATGTGTAGGAGAGGTTAGAGGTCAGGCTGCTGGATGAGGTGGGGGTCTGGGAGCCAGAGCCTGTAGAGGAGCTGCCCTGGGACTGCTGACCTGCACACACATAAACACAGAGAGACATGCATCAGCATAATAGTGTTTTTTCGGGATCAAAAAGGGGCTGGTGGTGGGCGCGGTCGGGCCCTGCAATTCTACACGTTTTGCCATGCAGCTGAGAGAAAATGAAGCTAATTTCCTGCAATTCTATGCATTTTGCCATGGCTAATTCTTTATACTGCTAAATTCATTGTTTTGGGAATGTTCAATTCTCCCTGACTGTCTAGCTTTTATTTAGGTGATTGTTAGTTCTCAAAGATGAATAAAAAAATATATAGGTCCATTATCTTTTCAACATACTTTATATCTGGTTTTAGTCAGTGGTGTAGTGGAGGGTATACGCAGGTATACGCCGTATGCCCACTTATTGTTCAGCGGGCATTGCATATACTCACTTCTTAATCCCCACGATGTGTATTAAAGTAGTGTAGTGGAGGTATACACCATGTCAATTAATAAGGCTGATGGAACGGAACAGATCAGAATGTTTAGCTTAAAATGACGATAAACTATAATTTCCTCACATTTTATGTGCCCCAATGTGCACACGGCGGTTGGCCTACGCGCAAATGTTCCAAAATACAATTTGCTGGAAATCACGTTATAAAATGCGCACTGCAAATGAGAGCGGTCTCATGGACAGAGATGGAAATATCTGTTAGAAATTGGGAATATCTAACGATGCAACATGACTACGATAATGCCTTTGGCTGCTAGACAATGAAAGAAAGTTGAAAGAAAACCAATTGAACAGGAGAACGCATATGAGGAAGTCTTTTTTAAATAATTGCCTCCATGTTTCTATGGTGGGATTTTGGCTATAGGCTACTTTGAAGCAAGGTAAGACACAGCTCATAATATGAAGTAAAACGGCCAGGTAAAAAAAAATTAAGGAACAGGAGAAATATAGCATTTATTTGTCTTCTTTTTTATGGGGGGTGGGGTAGGAGTCACTTTATACTATTCCAGGTATTCCTTAAAGAGATAGGGTTTCAAGTGTCTCCGGAAGGTGGTCAGTGACTCCGCTGTCCTGACGTCTTGGGGAAGCTTGTTCCACCATTGGGGTGCCAGGGCAGCAAATAGCTTTGCTAATGATCGGCCTATCAATCTTCTGGTAGATGGAAAGGATTTTCTCAAAAACCTTCTCAATTAAATGTTAACTAGCTACAAAGTAGCCTATGCCTACCTGGCAGAATGATATCATGATTATTTGCATCAATCCAGTGGCCGTTTTCCAACTCCATCTCATATGCTACAGAAACATCGCTAACCAAACAGTGTTATGTGCCTGCCTACTTGAATTGAAGAGTAACTACACAAAAAAATCTAAATGTCTTAGATTTTTCCCAGACATCAAAAGTGGTCTCTTGATGTGGTTTAAGTATTGTTGTCCAATTTTGTTGTTTTTCTATAAAAAACAGTATGACTTTGAGAGTAAAATGTTTGTTTAAAAAAAATTGAAAAGCAGAAACCTATGACTTTCTGACTCAGTTGACAGCCTAATTTATCTGTTTCAATAGTAGGCCTACTATTAGCCTAGTTGCACAGTACATATTGGGTTGGCCTGACTGAAAGACCAATATGGGATTGATCATTTGAGGTCACTGTTTCTCATAGAATTTTTCACACAGGGTGCCTTTCCTTTGCCGGGGGGGCAGTTTGGGATTTTCTTGGTGCAACATTTGAGTATACCCACTTCTCCAGGCACTACACCTAGAGCAGGGCTCTCCAACCCTGTTCCTGTAGATCTAGGTTTTCACTTCAGCGCTAATCTAGCACACCTGATTCTAATAATTAGCTGGTTGATATGCTGAATCAGGTTAGTTACAACTGGGGTTGGAGTGAAAACCTACAGGAGGGTAGCTCTCCAGGAACATAGTTGGAAAACCCTGACCTAGAGACTGCAATCTCATACAGACATAAACACCCAAATAAACCTGTATTCATACACCAAAGAGGTGAAAAACCCCACAGCATATTCACTATTCAGTGGGGGTTTGTAAATGTGACAAACTGGATTGGATGCAAGGACGGGGTCGGAGAGGAAGAAATGGAGGAAGAAGAAAAGAGCAAATGAAAGGAGAGGAGTTGGTGAGGATAACAAGGTGTGTGTGTGTGTGTGTTACCTGCTGAGTTGGAAGCTCTGAGGATGGCTCCCTGGGGAATGAGCAGCAGCTTTCCCTTGCCTGATGGGTTCTTGCTGTTGGTGGTGAGGTATAGCTTGGTTCCCGGGGGCAGGTTGGCAAGGTTGGCCAGGTTGTTGGCTGGCAGCTGGAGGGTAGCCATCACTGTGGAAAAAGGGGGGAGTTTGTGAGGGCGTCTGTCAAGAGGACAAAGAGTTTGTTTGTGTTTACATGTCTTAATGTCTCAGATAAACAGGCACCTTTTCCCAGTGTTTGTATGTGTGAACAAACAAAAGTGAAGTGACCCTCACCTCCGCTCTTTCCCGTTCCCCCTGCGGCCCCCGTTGCCTTAGCAACAACCTGCTGACCCATGATGCTACCAGCCGCTCCGCTGACGATGGCCTTGGCGACGCCCTGGGCGACCACCTGCTTCCCACCGATCACCTTGGAGACGGAGGGGTTACCCTTGGCGACCAGTATCTGTCCGCTGCTGATGGCCACCTGCTTCACCGCTGCCTGGAGGGCGGACCCTACAGGGATACCCATAACCTGGAGAGGGGGAACAATGGAAATGTAGTTTTACAGATTCTTTACTCTCTGACACCTTGCTCATTGGCTGTGAACCATCTCTGTGTGTGTGTGTGTGTGTGTACGTCAAATCAAATCAATGTTTATTGGTCGGGTACAGAGTTTAGCAGATGTTATAGCGGGTGCAGCGAAATATTTATGTTACTTGCGCCTAACAATGCAGTAAAATGTCAAACAAGTACACAAAAAATAATAATACATCTAGAAATGTCGGAATGAATCCAATGAACAACCCAAATAGCACTGTAAGAGTAATAGCAAGCAATCTATTTGTATATACACAGGAAGAATTTACACAAGATATACTAAATAATGATATGTACAGCAATAGATATATTAGAGTGAGCTATGTCAAGGAGCCATTATATAAATAAATATGCGGTAAGTATAAACAGTATAACTAAAATGCAACGTACAGTAGTAGAAATATTAGAATGAGCTATGTTGAGAATACATTATTTAAATATACAGTACATAACCCCATGGCAAAATGGATAGAATTGCAGGAAATTAGCTTCCGGACTAGAGTCTGGAATATAAATATATGTATGTGAATGGTGCGTATAGACAGTATGTGAATAGAAAAGGTGTGTATAGCAGTAGTTATGTATTATGAGCCACGACTAGAAGTTCAAGTGTGTGTGTGTTTATGTGTCCGTGTGTGTCTGTCTGATACCTTGCTGGGTGGGGCCCCTGCTCCGGTGGCCCCTCCTGTCTGTTTCTGTGGCGACATGGAGATCACGTGACCTCCCTTCACTGCGACAAATTGCTGCGTTGCTGCGGCGGCGGTCTGCTGGGCTGCCGTTACCGAGGAAACCATCTGCTGCTGATGCTGAGTGGGAACTTCCCCCGGCTCCTGCTTGATAATGACCTGCAGAAGAAGAGAGCATATAGATAGAACATTCGAAAAAGGACAACCAGTGCTAGAAGCAACAGTTTCAGAAATGATTCACACCCCTTTACTTTTTCCACATTTTGTTGTGTTACAGCCTGAATTTAAAATGGATTCAATTTAGATTTTGTGTCACTGTCCTACACACACAATACCCCATATTATCAAAGTGGAATTATGTTTTTAGAAATGTTTACATATTAATTAAAAAGGAAAATCTGAAATGTCTTGAGTTAATTAGTATTCATCCCCTTTGTTATGGCAAGTCAAAATAAGTTCAGGAGTAAACATTTGCTGAACAAGTCACATAATAAGTTGCATGGACTCACTGTGTGCAATAATAGTGTTTAACATGATTTTTGAATGACTACCTCATCTCTGTACCCCACACATACAATTATATGTAAGGTCCCTCAGTCAAGCAGTGAATTTCAAACACACATTCAAACCAAAAAGACCAGGGAGGTTTTCCAGCGCCTCGCAAAGAAGTGCACCTATTGGTAGATGGGTAAAAATACAAATAAAGCAGACATTGAATATCCCTTTGAGCATGGGGAAGTTATTAATTACACTTTGGGTGGTGTATCTATACACCCAGTCACTACAAAGATACAGGGGTCCTTCCTAACTCAGTTGCCAGAGAGGAAGGAAACCGCTCAAGGATTTCACCATAAAGCCAATGGTGACTTTAAGACAGTTACAGAGTTTAATGGCTGTGATAGGAGAAAACTGAGGATGAATCAACATTGTAGTTACTCCATAATACTAACCTAATAAGAGAAGAGTAAGAAGCCTGTACAGAATAAAATATTCCAAAACAAACATCCTGTTTGCAACAAGGCACTAAAGTAATACTGCAAAAAAATTGGAAAAGCAATTAACTTTTTTTCCTAAATACAAAGTGTTATGTTTGGGGCAAATCCAATACAACACATTACTGAGTACCACTCTCCATATTTTGCTGGCTGCATCATGTTATGGGTATGCTTATAATCGTTAAGAACTGGGGAGTTTTTCAGGATAAAAAAGAAACGGAATGGAGCTAAGCACAGGCAAAATCCTAGAGGAAAGCCTGGTTCAGTCTGCCTTCCACCAGACACTGGGAGATGAATTCACCTTTCAGCAAGACAATAACCTAAAACACAAGGCCAAATCTACACTGGAGTTGCGTTCCAAGAAGACAGTGAATGTTCCTGAGTGGCCGAGTTCCAGTTTTGACTTAAATCTACTTCTAAAACTATGGCAAGACCTGAAAATGGTTCTCTAGCAATGGTCAACAACCAATTTGACAGAGCTTGAAGATTTAAAAAAATAATAAATGGGTAAATGCTGCACAATACAGGTGTGGAAAGCACTTAGAGACTTACCCAGAAAGACTAACAAATGTAATCGCTGCCAAATGTGCTTCTACAAAGTATTGACTCAAGGGTGTGAATATTTCTGTATGAAATGTTCAATACATTTGCAAAAATGTCTAAAAACATGTTTTCAACTTTGTCATTATGGGGTATTGTGGGTAGATGGGTGAGATAATAATTATTATTTTTAATCCATTTTGAATTCAGGCTCTAACACAAAACAATGTGGAATAAGTCAAGGGGTATTAATATTCTTCCCCCTTCCAAACAGGCTAGAAAGAACCAGCAAGGCAGAAAAGAGTGAGCACTCACCATTGGTTAGTTAATACAATAAGTCAATTTCATTGTTGTGATTAGGCACTTGGTTTTAATGACATCGACTGACAGATCACAAAGGACCCTGCTTTAATATCAGCCCCCAGTAGAGAGAGAAACAGTGGTGTGGGTTAAGGCTTGGTTCTGCCCAGTAGAGAAATAAACAGTGCTGTAGGTTGAGGTTTGATGCTGTGTATCACAGCGTTCCTGCCTACAGTAAAACTGTCGGAATTAATCTGCCCTGAAATTGTGTTTAATCGTCTGTGGAGAGATGTGGGAGTGGGTTGATTTTATTACAGGGGTTTGACACCGTCTCAGAAGTCCTCACAAGGATAGTAAAACAAGGAACATTCCGACAAGTGGGTACATTTCACCGGTCCCCACAAGGAAAAAGGCTATATTAGGCTTAGGAGTTAAGTTTAGGGATACAATTACGGTTAGGTTAAGGGTTACATTTAGGGGTTAGGGAAAATAGGATTTTGAATGGGAATCAATTGTTTGGTCCCCACAAGGATAGCAAAACAAACACGTGTGTGTGAGATATAGCACCTTGCAGTTATTCCCTCTGCAATGCCTCCCCCATTCCCTCTTAGAATGATGTCCCTTTTAAATGTCTTGCCAAGTGGCTGCCTACAGCTGCTGAAGACAGCACAATGGCAGAGTGGCACACTATTCATAATACACAGAGAGCGAAAGAGAGCGAAAGAGAGAGAGACAGTTGTTCAAGGGAGGAAGAGTCTACAGAGACAGGAAGTAACTATGGCACACAGACTGCTGGGTTGGCTCTGACACAAATCTCCTGGATCTCAACACTGTTAGGTCTGAAAGAGTTCTATGAAAAGTACTCATGACAGGTTAAGACTTTGGTTATCAAAGTCATTCATGGAGGACTCCAGTCAAGTTCTTCCACACCGATCTCGACAAACCATTTCTGTATGGACCACGCTTTGTGCACGGGGGCATTGTCATGCTGAAACAGGAAAGGGCCTTTCCCCAAACTGCTGCCACAAAGTTGGAAGCATAGAATCGTCTAGAATATCATTGTATGCTGTAGCGTTAAGATTTCCCTTCACTGGAACTAAGGGGCCTAGGCCGAACCATGAAAAACAGCCCCAGACCATTATTCCTCCTCCACCAAACATTATAGTTGTCACTATGCATTCGGTCAGGTAATGTTCTCCTAGCATCCGCCAAACCCAGAAGCGTGATTTATCACGGCCATGGAAACCCATTTCATGAAGCTCCCGACGAACAGTTATTGTGCTGACGTTGCTTCCAGAGGCAGTTTGGAACTCGGTAGAAAGTGTTGCAACCGAGGACAGACAATTTTTACACGCTATGCGCTTCAGCACTCGGCTGTTCCGTCCTGTTAGCTTGTGTGGCCTACCACTTCGCGGCTGATCCGTTGTTGCTCCTAGACGTTTCCACTTCACAATAACAACACTTATAATTGACCGGGGCAGCTCTAGCAGGGCAGAAATTTGACGGAATGACTTGTTAGAAGGGTGGCATCCTATGACGGTGCCACGTTGAAAGTCATTGAGCTCTTCAGTAAGGCCATTCTACTGCCAATGTTTGTCTATGGAGATTACATGGCTGTGTGCTAAATTTTAAACACCTGTCAGCAACAGGTGTGGCTGAAATAGCTGAATCCACTAATTTAAAGGGGTGTCCACATACTTTTGTATATATAGTATAGCTATGGCTGCAAGGACTGACCATCTATGATATCAAAATTATAGCTTTAAGTAGGGCTTGACATTCACATTTTTTTGCCACTGATTTTTTACTTGTCGAAAAACTCAAGTCACTAGTCCAAAAATAAAAAAGGGTCTGTAACACCATTTTACATCATTGTATGATACAAGGAACCACTTTACAAAATAAAATGCATGACTAGAGAAGCAGACAAAAATGTAGGCTACACTCTATCTATTGGCTTCTTTGCATATTCAAGCCTGTCTCAAAATACATCACTGCCCCTTTAAGGCTCTCTTGGAGGATGGATGGCCACCAAGTTTGGGAAATTCACACCAGCCAAATGCGGGTCGATTTTGGCAGTGGCGGGAAAGAATGTCTATTAGTGACCAGGCACGTTGGTGGGTGGTCACACACAGCATTTTGGAAGAGTTATTTTTTTCAAACCAAAACCCAAATTGGTAAAATTGACCTGAAAGGCTACTAAAGTGTGCCTTTGTCCTCGTGTTTCTTAGCTAGTTACATCGTTTTATTCAGGTTGTTTTTCAATATTAGTTTGAGTTTGCTGAAACTGTCTCCTGCTAGGCAATCACGGAGATTCTCAATCTCATCTCTGACAGACACGAGTGCCGTTACCACGGTAATGGCCCGCCCCTTAAAGGGGCAGCTGAACATTTTTGTCTCACCTAATGACTCAAATATTTGGGGGTCCGTTGTGATTAATTGAGCATGGAACACTCCAAAAACCTTTTATACATAAACTTTTAGTCATGTCTTATTAAAACACTTACAATTTAATTGTACTCCTGAATTTATTTGTGTGCTCATAAATATCAACTTACAGTATGCACTCCTTGTAAAAACATTTTTTGCGTTAGAGCCCAGAACTAATAATAATAAATAAGTCGTATCACTCAGCATTTTGTGGCAGGGCAGGCACTGATTCTTGATGTTTCTGTTTTACTTTTTACTATTGTATCTAAATAATTAATTTTAACATACACTGGTTAAAAGACTTGGGTCACAAAAATGAAATTGAATTGAGTAATATACCACATAACTTCTTACTAGTAATACATTTCTTGTATTATAAACATTATAAAGCATGCTCATCCGTCATTTGTGATTGTTGGTGTAATTATGGCAAAAAAATATTTGGAATGGTAAAAAATCTGAGTGGCTGGTAGATTCTTTAATCTACATGCCACAGTGGCTGGTGGACCAAAAGGTTAATTTCCCACCCTGTTGGCCACCTTGGTAGCCTATAAAATATTGCAACATTACAATTACCAAATACTTTTTATGTCTTTATAAAATAATTCCCTCTAGGGCTCGACATTAAGGGCTTCCCATCATCCCTGGGACGATAAAAAATGTCTACAGCTCAAAACAGACTCATACAATTCATACAACAATTATAAACCTAACAATGTGCACACGGCTGTAGAATATGCGCAAATGTTCCAAAATGCTATTAGCGGAAAACACCATTCTCAGAAGTGCACCGCACGCGGGAGCGGTATCATGTCACAGAAATGAAGAAAGGGGAGATCTAAAGATGCAACAACTAGCATGGGTTACTAATATGACTAGGATTATGCCTTTGGC